TTATCGTATCGTTTTTTAAATGTCGTCTTCCACGCTCCACTTGGCTTCAAGAGGGATCTTCATCGGTGAAAGGAATGGAAATGTTCAATTTACGAATCACGTGTTCATTTTAAGAATTATCACTACTGTACTTGTTTATCTTCGCAATAGGTGTTCAAAATTACCTCCTTGCATCTAAACACGAATCTAAAGCCTATCATAATCCCATATGTGAGGTCTTTATCTACCATTTATTGACCAGACGAACTTCCCATTATCTCACACGACGTATTTCAATAATCTTCATACCTAGTACTCTAATGTTCCCCAAGTATTTACAGAATTAAAATACGAGATTTGTCACCAGATACTGGGCTCATCTTTTAAAATAATTATTCCAATTTGTCAAATAGGGCACACATGGTTTTCTTGTTCCCTCGGCTAAAAAAGTGAAGTGCTCGCGCAAAGAAACCTCGCGGCGGATATTTCACCGAGAACAAAATGGAATAAAACCAGAAGTAAATCGGAGGATCGAAACCATGGCTATTATTAGGTTGTTTAAGTAGACGATTCCGCGCGTTACGCGATAGAATCGGGATAAAATAGCCCGTGCAACGCATGCGTGTCATACCAGCGATGGGTTTGAATTTTTTCCACGTAGTCCGGTCGGAGAAATCAGTCGGTGCTCATCGATATGCCGGAACGATAATGGTGACTGTTCCAGCGTGGCGGTCGCCCCGATACTTTGGCATTGTATAAACACAGCCAGCGACGGGTCGGACTAATTAAGCTTAATTACGGTCACCCGATCCCATTAATTAATTCGTCGTTCTCGCACCTGCCCGCCGGAGGATAACCTATTACGAGAGAGTCGAGCTTCCACCGGTTATCCGTTTCGAATCTTTCGGAAACGCGGCCAATCGATTAGCCGTCGCGAAACCGAATCGACGAAACGTTCGATTTCGCGAAACTCTTCGTTATCTGCGATCCGTCAGCCCTGGCAATAAATCTATGCGCGACGGTGAAAAGGTCGGATCGGTTATCTGGACGGCGACCGAAACTTGATCGAGAAATCTGCCAGAAGTATTGCCTTGAGCATTGCTGGACACGGTCGTCGATAATTGATACCGGTTTTCGTTTCGATTAGCGACGCGACGTACCTCGATTCGCGAAACTTTGACTCCTCGATGCCATTGGCCACTTCATTCTCGCTTCAACATGCACCACACCCACTATACTCTTCGGGCCTTGCAACGAGCGGTTACAGTAATGATTCTTAAAATGATCCCGGACGTGATTCGTAAGTTGAACATTTCTAACTGGGGAGGGAATTCTCTTTAGAGCTAGTGAAGCGTGAAAGACAGTGTTTAAAAAAGGATATGTGTATAAGTATCTGCTGGTGTCGATGTTCATTTTACAAATCATTACTACCTACTTTGAGTGCCGCAATTTTTTAACTGGTAAAAATTTGGACAACTGTAACCATATAAAATCTGCACTGAGTTTCTTGAACACATGTTTACTGTGGTCGTAATAGAACCATGAAAAGTCAATAAAAATGATTGAAAAATTTACTTTGTATTCCCAAAGTTAAGTTAAGTTAAGTTAAGTTATGTAAACTACGAAAATAAACTATAGCGTTAGATGTTACATTTAGTTAAAAAAAATTCTAAAAATTTAGGATTTTTAATTTTTAAATAAAAATTTATTATTCCAAATATTCTTATTATTAAATAATCTTTTTTCTATACCATAAGTTGAAAAATTTACTTTGTACTCTCAAAGGATAGTTATGTAGACTACGAAAATAAACCATAGCGTTAGATGTTACATTTGGTTAAAAAAAATTAATAAATATGGTTAAATTTTGCAACGTACACACGAGACTGCCCCCTTAATACAAAATGGTCGATAGTTTCTTAAACACATGTTTACTGTGGTCGTAATAAAAACATGAAAAGTCAATAAAAATTATTGAAAAATTTACTTTGTATTCCCAAATGATAGTCAAGTAAACTATAGCGTTAGATGTTACATTTAGTTTAAAAAAAATTGATAAATATGGTTAAATTTTGCAACGTACACACGAGACTGCCCCCTTAATACAAAATGGTCGCTACATCGATGACTGGTAATAAACGTAATAATCAAGACGACCTAATGTAATTTGGACCAAAGAGGGTTGAAAAATTAGCGTGGAAAAGAGCCTTCCCGAGATACAGGATGACCTATCCGATCCACCTCGTCTGGTTCCCGCGACGGGAAATCGACGAGGCGAACGATAAAGAATTCACGGGTTGCTCTCGATGCGTCAGGCCGGGAAACATCCGCAATATCTCGCCACAGGGCTTCCTCGGCGTCGACCGCGGCAGTCGTAAGGCCAGGAGGAGAGTTTTGGCAACGAGGAACCGTCCGCGCTATCGATCCCCGGGTTGATTCGATATTTGGGACGAGGCTGACCCGGCTGCTGCCAAATTTTTTCTCCGTTCGGTGGTAAATTTCCGGGTAAAATGGCTGTTTCTGTTCCTCCGCGGTCGTCGCCGGGAGGACCCTAGGAGCACCGACGATGAGACTCTCGTGAGATCGCCGTGGCTCCTTTCTTCGTCCTGATCCACGGTGGCGCGGTAAACCCGTTTCTGCGATGGACGACTATTTTTTGGGAGAGGTGGTGGGGGAAACGGGTCTTTGGTCCGTCGACGCTCCGTGGCGTCGCGGCGTTTCGGTTCTCCCGTGGCCGTGCACCGGCTATCGATCGTACGAACGAGCCCTTCTAACTTATTCAAGGTATCCCGAATCCCCGTCGATGTTGTCTATTCTATTCGCGGCGTCGACGCCGCGAATACTATCCGTCCGGCCGTAATGGAAATAGAATGCTGCTCGAATGGCATGTGACGGTCCTCTAATCGAATGGAAATGCCGAATTGGACCGTCGACGCAGGCTCTCCGTGTATTTGGCCCATTAGAAGATTTTATTCCGTCGGTTGTTAGCCCCTGCGAATCGATCCGCTGAATGATTAACGATCCCGAATACGTACGGTTCTCTTCTGGTCAGCTTTACGCCACGGGGGGATACGAATTTACGCCGATAGCAGGATCCATAGCGTTTTTCCTTATCAGGCGATTTCGGTATTTCCACGTTCCTCCGGGGACCAAGAAATTATTCTTACGTACTGGCTATTCCAAGCAACTTGGGCTGACACTGATAGACGTACAAAACTATGCAACATCCTTTTCACGAGCGAAACTCTAGAATTTTTACTATTCGAGACAGTTTTCGAATGTCTACTAACAAGTATTATACCCTAAATCTATTAACACACAAATTTATTTTTATAATTCTCATGCAACGTGTAAGTTTTCAAAAAAATATTTAAATTACAGGAATATTGAGAAACTTCTGAAATCCTAATGAAATAAAAAATCGTGGATCCAAGAATTTAAGAATTTTTTGCTCAATAATGGGAGAGAAGAAGAAATGGCAGAAATCTGATTTGTTCTTGACACTATAAAATTTTAGGCCTTGAATCATTTATGTTTACACCTATTTTAAAGATAATGCGACGAAAATGTTTGTTTTGAATTCAGAGGAAAACAGAGAAAATATCTCTTGAATGACTCTTTTTTACTATACTGTAAAAAACATCGAGACAAATTCAAAACAAACATTTTCGTCACATTATCTTTAAAATAGGTGTAAACATAAATGACTCAATGCCTACAATTTTATAGTGTCTAGAATAAATCAGATTTCTTTTCATTTTTGAGGAACACGTTTTCTTAATTAACCCCATAACGTTCATGCTCGATTCTGACTGCTTTGAAAAACGATATTTGTTTAATCTAACAACTTAAGAGGTGACAATATTTGTTTTCCTTCGAATTATACGTTAGATGCAACATTCTAATTAACAAAAACCGCATTTTTATGTAGCTTAGAAACAAATAGAGAAAACTGATCATTCTTGGTTAACCCAAAACATATGAGCGTTAAGGGGTTAAAATCTTCAAACATCGAGGATTTTAGGGTGGTTTTTAGCCACGGTGGGCAGAGTAGGAGACAAGGGGTGGTCGAGGGGGTTCGAAATCGAACCCTTCGGACGATAATCGATCGTTCAAGACGCGAGATCGTTACGTAAGCGCGGAAACAGAGGCGTTTTCGCGCGACTGACCGACGAGAGAATTATTTTTGGAAGAGCAACGCGATTTACTTCGCTGGGCAACGGGACCAGAGGACCGCCTGAGAATTCACCAACGATCTTTTCTCTACAGACTATACAGGCTCCGACAGAAGAGGTACATTTCTCGTAAAAGCCTCGAAAAATTACAAATAATTCATCTCCATCGACATCAGCGCAAACACATCGAAATAACTTAGCAGAAACTGTAATAACTTTTGAAGTAGTGGAAAGTACCTTGGTACTTTTTTGTGAAAGTGTTTTCTTGAATCTTTCATTAACCTTTCACACTCTGTACAAACCCAGACCGTATTGTGTTCACACTTAATCGAAGTCGATCCTTATTGGCTGTGCTCTGGCATTTGCGTGGCTCTAAACTTCCTTTCGTGAGATCATATAAGGCCACGAAAGCAAAAGTTGACTAACCCAACAATTTTCCATGTACGAATCGAGAAAACGAACGTACGTTTTAAGTGCTTCCACGTTTTTACTGACAATATCTGGAATTTAATTTTAATATAAACAAAGCTAGTTGATGCTTTAGATTTTGCTTTCATAAATCTAAAACAATCACTTTACTCGAACTATTCATTTTTCAAGAAGACGAGTAAAGTGATTGTTTTAGATTTATGAAAGTGATCAAAATCTAAAACAATCGCTTTACTCGCCTTCTTGGGAAAAAGAATAGTTCGACGATAATCGACGTACGTGTACAAATTGTAGTTCATTTACTATTTTAAATATTGCTAAAAACTGTATGAAAGTTGTGAAGTCGAGAAAGCACCAAAAATATAGATTTTTTTCTGTAAAAAAATCTGTAAAATATAGAAAATCAAGTATACTCACCCTTAAGAAAGATCACATACTTTTCCCGGCTAACCACGAGTGGGCACATCAGGCATCCTTCCAATTCACAAATAGGGGACCCTGCGCAGAAAACATTAAACAATCAAGCACAATGTCTTACGAACAATAATAATAATTCGTGTCTCGAACGAAAAGGAACGTCGAGCACCAAAGATAAATATTTCCATGAATAATTCGTCGATCGAATTAATAAAATTCTCGGTAATTCCCAATGCTAACTTTATTAACCCTTAGACGATCCTCGGAGACTTCAGGGCTCATTAATTCGCTAATAACTCGTTCACTGAATCGAATTAATATTTATTTTAGACAATTCGATCTTACAGCCTCCATAATTCTACTTGAAATAAAATAATTCATACCTTAAACGCCAATTTAATATTTATTAATAAGGATTTCATTATTGAATAAATACAAAATTTATTACAGATACTGTATCACCCGTTACATTTTGCAAGGATAAAAATTAAAAAATATTTCTTCGAACCATCGCGTATAAAATTTCCGTTTAAATGATATGAAATTGTTAAGTATTCTGTGGATGGAACGTGGGTCGAGAATGACCCCTGCGGGTTCCAAGAAGACAAAGCACCCGTGACACATTTCCCCAGCGATCTGAAACGCGATTCGCGATTCCCGTCGTTCCGAATGGCCGCGCAGACGATGATAATTGATAGCGTCGAACGATATCATTAGGCGCGTGCACCAGGAAGAAATTAGCACGTGAAACGTCGAGCTCGGCCGCGAACCGATACTTACAACCTCCGATACAAACACGGTGGCACAGCGTGCCACGAAACCATCGTTCGTGGCTCTCGTTTTGAATAATCGTTTCGAACGGAGTCTTTTCCAGCACGGCAGAACGCGAACCCGGAGGAAGTCGATAAAACCGTGATATCCTCTGCACACAATACTTGGGGAGGGGGGCCATGAAACCGGGGCCCCGAGCCCGTAATTACAAAGTTGCCGCGCCGTATCATTATGCACTTAAATCTACCTGCTCGCGTAATACATTAGAATATATTATGACAAAGTATAATATTACAACCGGGCAGGACGAGCTGATTTCTGAATACGGCTGATATCGATAACACTTCCAGACAGGAACGAAGGCTGTACTATATTTTGGGGCGTCAAAATTATTTTGGAATTTTTTTAATAGCAATAGGGGATGAAATATTATTATAATAGTAGCTATGACTAACGATATTTTTTCTAGTTATTGATAACCACCCTTCTAGACATGAACAAAGACTGTACTATATTTTGGGGCGTTAAAATTATTTTGGAATTTTTTTAATAGTAGTGGGGGATGAAATATTATTATTATAGTAGCTATAATTAGCAATATTTGTTGTAGATATTGATAACCACCCTTCTAGACAAGAACAATGATTGTACTATATTTTGGGGCGTTAGAATTATTTTGGAATTTTTTTAATAGCAGTAGGGGATGAAATATTATTATTATAGTAGGTATTACTAACGACATTTATTCTAGATATTGATAACCACCCTTTTAAACAAGAACGAAGACTGTACTGTATTTTGGGGGATCAAAATTATTTTGGAATTTTTTTAATAGCAATAGGGGATGAAATATTATTATTATAGTAGCTATGACTAACGATATTTTTTTCTAGATATTGACAACCACCCTTTTAGATAAGAACAATGATTGTACTATATTTTGGGGCGTTAGATTTATTTTGGAATTTTTTTAATAGTAGTAGGGGATGAAATATTATTATTATAGTAGCTATGACTAACAACATTTTTTCGAGGGAGTATGTACTTCGTCAGAAAATAGAATATTAGTAAATTTTACACTCCACGAATAGGGGATGAAATACACTTGTTCGAAAGTCAAATATTTAATAAATATATTATCATAGTAACAACTAGAGATGAGTAAGAACTCTTTTTCCAAGGATTATTTATTTTACCAGGAACTAAAATATTATCACAATTTTGTGTGTCACGAATAGGGGATGAAAAGTACACTGGTTTCTGAGTCTAGGAATGCACTGGTTCAAAAGTCAGATATTAAATAAATATATTATCATAGTAACCACTAGAGATCCTTTTTTTAAAGAAACATTAGCAACTTTCTCCCCAAAAACCGAATTATTCGTCGACTATAACTAGATTCGAATTTAATAGCTTGCAAAAATATAAATAACTGTAATGGATCGGTGAAATCGTACCAATTAAACTGAGACTAATATCAAACCACTAATTAGATTGGTTTACCATCGGCTAAATAAAGCTGCAACATTCTCGTAAATCATTTATACAAATAATTCACCTATGTATCAAATTAAAATTAATCAAAAAAATTGAATTTTTACGTTTTATTCAGTCTCAATATAAATAACTGTAATTGATCAGTAAAATCGTGCCAATTAAAACGAATCTTGACTCTAACTACAAATTAAATTGGTTTATTGTTGGCTAAATGAAGCTGGAATATTTTCGTAAATTATTTATACAATATTTTTACTCGTATTTCGAGAGTTTCCAGTAATAGAAATAACAGGAAGCTTCGAGTTTAGAGCGTTTCACCCCTAGGAACGATCACGGGATATTTAAGAAATGGTGGAAAACCTCTCAAATTGTATCTGACGCCCCGAAAAAAGTTCAGACTCGCCACTGGTTATCGAACTTATCAAAACTGCGTTCGAAAGTCGGTGTATCTGTCTTCGTCTCTCCTCTGTTGGACTACGCTATGGTAAAAACGTATTATCGATCATTCCGAGTGGCAATTTGCATGCTCGACGACCGCTCCCCCGGTCGACTGGCGTGCGTGCATCATCGAATCCTCATCAACGACGGCATCTCGTCGAGCCGCGAGTCTCGCGGATGCGACCAGTTTTTTGCCAACTGGTTACAGCAAGCGAACAGCAAATGGCACCGTTCTGCCTCTAAAGGTCGATTTTCACGGGACGAGGAGTCGTCTTTTCACCATCGAATCGTCTTTAAAACCGAACAAGCTGTCAATTTTGTCAAAAATCCGAATTTTGTTATTTAAAATCCCCAAGAAGATTTGTGATTTAATTTCTGCACTATTTTATTTAGAAAGTTTTCAGTTATTTCTATGAACAGCAAATGGCACAGTTCTGCCACTAAAGGTCCATTTTCACGGGACATGGGGTCGTCTTTTCACCATCGAATCGTCTTTAAAACCGAACAAGCTGTCAATTTTGTCAAAAATCCGAATTTTGTTATTTAAAATCCCCAAGAAGATTTGTGATTTAATTTCTGCACTATTTTATTTAGAAAGTTTTCAGCTATTTTTATGAACAGCAAATGGCACAGTTCTGCCACTAAAGGTCCATTTTCACGGGACATGGGGTCGTCTTTTCACTCTCGAATCGTCTTGAGAACCAAACAAACTGTCCATTTTGTCAAAAATCCGAATTTTGTTTATTTGAGATCTATCAAGATTTGTGATTTAATTTCTGCGCTATTTTATTTAGAAATTCTTCATTTATTTCTACGAATTGCTATTATTATTAGTTTATTTAGTAAAAAACATTATTTCACGATTATAAAATAGTCTCCATGGGTCAAACTGGACCCGTGAATAGTCTTGGAGTCCATTCAGAATTTTTAGAATTTTTTCGCGTTTATAAATATATTTGATCCTTATTGACTCGCGTTGATCATTCAATCATAAGCGTACGAGAATAATTAGTTTGAATATGAGTTTGCAAGGGAAAAAACATGTTGTTTTAATCAGACTAAAATTAAAAAATACTACTAGTAAGGATGAAACGTTCAATGACATGGGGTTAAAAATGGTGACTATACGTCATGTGAAAACGGACCTTAAACTGCGCGGCCATTGCATTCTCAGCTCACCTAACGTCTTCCAAACGCGGATGTCCTCGCCAGGCTGTAACACTCATTCTACACGCTTGTACAGGATGTCCCAAGTAATCGTAGTACAACCGAGAAAAATGTCAAACAAATTTCTTCATTCCTTCCCTTATCAAGAAGAACAACATTGAAAACTATCAAATATATCAACAAAATTATTCCTGTTTTCCTAACACAATTGTAAATAAATTTAACCTCCACATAAGAAAACTCATAATAAGCTTTCAGCTATGAGTTTTTAGCTTCATTTATTTTCTCTCTATACTTTCCATCCAAATATATCAACAAAATTATTCCATTTTTCCTAAAACAATTATAAATAAATTTACCCTTAATAAGAAAGCTCATATAATAATACGAGTCTGTTTTAATTCCCCCATACAAAAATTAATTTTATCTTCCCCTCCAATTTATATTAGCCCATTGTAATCTTCATCAAATGTTTCAAAGATGGCGAATTAAATCGCTGAAAACTATGGTTTCGTAACTTGAAGTATTGTAAACTTTCGACTATGAGTTTTTAGCTTCTTTCATTTTCTCTCTAAAATTTCCATCCAACTTGATCTATTTCTTTAAGCTGTCTCAAGGTCGGGTTTGAAAGCAGCCTCTGGTGGTGCTCGCGCCATTGTGGAAGTCGTTCTTTGTACGACAATACGCGTATAATGCATCTACGTGCAATATAATGATAATAATATTCTCAATTCACCCAGTACCGGAATATACACGACGGTCCCGCGGATCGATGATCGCTTTACGCGGATATTTTTGTCGCGAGTCGCTGCTTCCAAGCTCCGTGCGCTTCCACTGCAACGTTTTTATCATTGTTACCGGTTTCCTTCCTTCATTTGTCTCCGCCTCGCTGGTATCGACTACGACTGTTAGCCGAGGAGCGACAATTTTTACATTTTTTATTTCACCCAACGGGAATGACCGTACCGATACACGTAACAGTAATAAAATGTACAGGATTCACGCGTTCAACGACACGCCATTTTCTCATTGTTGCGAACGTCCTCCATGTTTGTTCGAATTCTAATATGAACGAGAAACTTGATTTTAAAAATTTATGAGCTTCTTCCTTTGCTCGAGATTTCTCAAATAATGGACAAATAGGGTAATTTTATTTTTGATAGATAGAGAGCAATACGTGTAATTTTATTCTGGTTTATAGAGCAATA